AAAGGTGAACTGCTGTGCAGACAGCAGTAAGTGATATACAGGTGTGTATTCACTAAGGTGTTAGCAACATGTTCCATGTGGTGAGCAGCAGCAGCTAACGTGTTGCTACCTGGGCACTGACATGCAACCATGCAGATGTTACTAGGTGTTTTTCCGCGACAGATGCTAAGTGATCATTGCCAGAGAGTGGCAGAGATTGGTGCTGCCTTCGCATGCTCTAATGGAAGAAATGTCAAGATCTCACAGGACAGAAGTTCTTTTACAATATTTTACCCTTACAAATGTGTTGCATTTCCTTTATCAGAATGACTAATCTGTGTCTTAAGATGTCTACTTTAAAGTGTTTACAACTGTTTAGTGGTGCACACATGGCAATGGTAATTTTTACATCTGTACAACTTTACTAACTTTGTGTCTCCTCTCTCCCGCAGTGTGTCCTCTCTCTCTCCCTGTACCTTTCTGCAGGTTGCCCTGGCCCTGGAGCTCTATGTCTCTGATCAGTGTTTGATTGTTGTGTCTTGTTGCTTTTCTTCTTTCCTCTCTCCTCTATCCACTCACCCCAACCGGTCGAGGCAGAAGGCTGCCCACCAAGAGCCAGGGTCTGTCGGAGGTTTCTTCCGTTAAAGGGAGTTTTTCCTCCTCACTGTCGCCAAGTGCTTGCTCAAGGGGGATTTGTTGGGTTTTCCCTATGTAATAATATTGATAACAGTAAGGTCTAGACCTTACTTTGTAAAGTGTCCTGAGATGACTTTTGTTGTGATTTGGCGCTATACAAATAAAATTTGATTTGATTTGATTTGATTTACAACATGGAGCATTGCCCTGTGGGAGCGTTAGCAGGAAGTAGTGTCTGTGCCGTGGACTTTTGACGTTACACTGTGTAGTTCTGAGGCACTCCGGCAGACATACTTACACATTCAGACATGCAGTTTAAATAACACACTGTGCTGTATAAGACACAGGTGGTGACTTTCTGTGCAGTCCCCACTGCTGCAGTGCTGGACGTAAAAAGGCCGGTAACCGTTTACTGTGGCTTTGCAGGGAGTTGTTAAAACATTTCTGAAGATTTTCATGGCATCAGTAGGTAGTGGAGAGGTGGCTGGTGTTGTTTACAATGGTTCCAGCTTTTGTAGGTGGAGGTGTTGTTCATGGTGTCTGAAGGTTTCCTATCTGCCACTGCCTCTGTGTGGACCACTGTGAGTCCATCCCGTCCCCTGACCACAGGAACTGAGGTGAGATGTACTTAAATCCTTCATGTTAAACCCTTGTGTGTGGTCAGTTTAACCAGGGTCATGTCCACTGAGGCACAGTTACCTGTAGTTTAACTGCTGTGATGCACTGTTGCTATGGTTACCTAGATGAACAGGTACAAACCTGATGAAGGGTTTGACCAAAGTGATGAGAGCTTTGATGTACCAGGCAGGATGGACCACCAGGAGCCCCTTCAGGTCTTTCTTCAACCTGGAGATGCAGGAAATAGGAATTACATGGCTGTCGTCATGGAAACAAGCTTATTTACGACATTTATGACAAATGACAAACATGTTTCATTTCTTCTGAATGGGAAACACAGTTGAAGCTTTTCAGAGAAACAACCATCGGATTCAGAAAATATAGTGCGTGTGACAGCTCCACCCAGGGCCATCCCAACAGATGAAACCAGCATACCTCCTGTTGATGGAGGTGTAGCACTGGTGGAGCCATTTGATGGCCGGCAGTTTGTTTCGAGGAGCCATGGCACACAGGTAGACCAGCAGGTAGTTCTCTGAGACCATCAGGTCCAGCGTCCCCACAATGTACCTGCAGGTAAAAATACACTGTTACACCTGTGTCCAGGTGTTCATTACTTTGACTTGAGAGTGAAGTGAGACGTAAGACAGCTTGTCAGCGTTGAAGTTAATGCTTAAACTTAAACCTGAACTCATTTCCATGCATACACTTGTGAATTATTGTCAGAAACTAGCTTTTTTTCTAGTTTTTCATTCACCCAGAGACACAACTACATTATGTTTGTATACTCTGTCTTAATAAAGTTTAATAGACAACCAGAAACACTCACCTGAACAGGTTGTCCATGACATACCCATAGTCCTCCACTGTGTTCTCCGGCAGGTAACAGGAAGTGAACATGATAATGGCGTTCATCCCATCTCCATAGTAACCTGACAAACAATCACACACAGAGAGGGAGGAGTTACCGTTGGAGTAATAAATAGAACCAAATAAAACTGAGACCAACAACATTGTATTTACAGAAGGGAATATAAAAACAGATGTGATACAGCTGCTAACCGACCAGATCATACAGCCCACAGCTGCGAAACTGTAGAAAATTAAGATGAAAAAATACTTAGTGGACAGTTTATTAGGACCACCAGTGTAAGTCTGTTGTATATTGTATATTACCTTATATATCCTACTGTAAATATCAATTGTACATATCTATTGGTAAATTAGATCTGACTGTAGATACTGTAGATACTGCACACTGCACTGCTGTTATTGCACTTCTGGTTAGACTGTTGCTAAACTGTATTTTGTTGCTTTGTACTTCTACATGTGTAATGACAATAAAGTTGAATCAAATCTAACCTAATCTAAATTAGTTAGTAGAATATTTGACCCCTGACCTCCATGTGACAGGACCTGCAGGTAGGGCTCCAAGACGCTCATGTTAACATGATATTCCTGTCCCGAGATGCAGAACCTCCTCCAGCGGCGCCCCTTGCTGTCCACCTCATCCAGTCCCAACAGACCTTCAAAATGCTCCCCCGGGCCCCTGGTCATGCCCACAGCCCCGTCTCTCCCTCTCCTAGGCAGGTCATCTGTCAAAGGTCAAAGGTCATCTTTCAGACAGAGGAAAGAAAAAATAGCAAAGAGCAAAAAAAAAAAAAAACCCACAAAACAATGGCACAAACAGCAACCACAAGCTGATACAAAACTGTCAAAACACAAGCACAGACACACAAAAGACCACAAAATAAACTAAAATAAAACATGTCTAAGGGTCAGGGCTGGGATTGAAGGTCAGCTGATGCCTCACCATCCCACTCAAGTTCATGTGTGCTGTCTGGCAGCGTCCCTGTTTCACTGTCTGAAGGCGTTTCCAGTGCCTCCAGGTTGATATCAAGAGATAGCATTTCATCCGCCGTTTCATCCGGTGTCACTGACAGAGCGGCGGCAGAGAAGCCGTCTTGACTCGCATCTTGAGAGTTTCTGTGACTCAGGGTCAGGCTGAGAGTTGGGGCCACCAGACGTTTCTTAGCTCCGCCCCCAATGGTCCCTGACAGGGCAAGGCTGGTAGGCGGGTCTGAGGGTAAAGGATGGGACAGGGGAAAGAGATATTTAATACAAAACATTCATTTTTAATATTCAAAATATTTAATCTTGCCCTTTAATAATAAATATTTTGTCACTAATAAAGTCACATTTCATGGTTTGTATGGCAAAAATAAAGTTGTATAGTTTGAGGGTTACCTAGTTGCTCCTCTGTTCCTGACGGACTCTCTGGATTCCCAGAATCCTCTGGGAGCAGCCTGGGCCAACACAAACACCATTTAAGCACCTCAATTGCAGCAAGCTTTCCAAACATAAAACCCTGGGACCGTGACAGTTCTCTAATCACAAACATTCCGGATTAAAACATGATGAGCAGCATGATGAAACATGCCCTCAGTGTCTTCTCTGGATGCTGAGTGCTATGACTATTGTAGGCCAAGAGAAACAAAGAAATGTAAATGGAATAAAATACAGTCTGGATATTACTGTTTAGCTTCAATCAAACAATATGAATTGAAATACAAAGGTTCAGAACAGGTGAAGAATTACAGCATCTAAAAACATTCACTTGTTGAAAACACCTGTGGCCGCAGGTTGTTCCAGCTCTGCACAGGTGAGTTCAGCTGAGTTCCTGACTCACAGCTCTGTTAACATAAACAAGATGGATATCCTCTCCATCCTCCACACCGCCTCTCAGCACAAGAAAAGTGTTTGTGCTACTACAGAAACATCCAGAAATATGAGCAGAAAACTGGAAAAGGAAAAACTCCTGTTAGAAAAAAACGAAAGGTGGACCAGGAACTGAACTGAGAGCAGAGCAAACAGAGATAGTGTCAATCTGAGCTGCTGTTTGTCTGCGTCCACATCACAGCTGCAGTTTCCCTCCCAGTGACTCAGTACACAGCAGTGTGAACAGACCAGACCACCTGTGTATGTGCTCCTAGACCCGATTCCTATCCTACCTCTGACTGTGTGAGTGCTGTCAGAACAGTCAGATCAGAATCCATGTGGCTGTTTTAACATCTCCTCCTCTGCTCATATGGCCTGTCATCATCATTCGGATGCTCACAGACCGGTAACAATAAACACGGAGGAGAGCGACGACAGTGATGGGGTGAGTGGAGAGACCAGGACATTTCACATGTGGTGGACATTTATGGAGAATCTTTTAATCAGGCCTAACTGGAAGGAACATATCATAACCCAGCAGTTTGGATGGAAACTGGGCCATTTGACCAGCGCACTAAAAACATAGAACTAAGCAGGATGGCTTGAGATGTGGACGCAGCACTAGAATGTGAAACACAGCGAGGACACGGTTGATGTGATCTCTACATGTGTAATGTGAGGTGTGTCTGTAAAGTGATACTGGTATGTTGGTTCTTTTTAGACCAGCGGTCAAAGGTCAGCACTGACCTGGGGAAACCGTCGTCCTGCCACTCCTCTCTCAGCTCCATGTCCTGGATGCTGGGGAGACCTGAGGCCTTGGCAGGAGCCCTGCAGGGACAGAAGAGCAATGCAGCAGTGCTGAGGCTGACAGATGTGAACTCCAAGATAGACTTTTACCCACATTTGCAGAAGATAAAGAAATGGACCTTTCAAACAGAAACATGGTTCTGATCATGTGTCAATGTTACAGAAAAGAACAAACAAGAGCTCTTCTCTGTACAAACTACAGGGACTTCTACATGAAATGGGAAAGACCATGGTCCAAACAAAGACAGGCCAGTTTCCCTCAGTGCTAAGAGCAACCTGCAGATCACAGTGTTTCTGACAACAGCCAGTCTGTTGGGCTGCTCTATCAGAGGCCTCAATCGTGTGGTTGTAGCTTTCACTTCACTTTAACTAGAAGGCGGATTGTTTACTTTCACATGACTCTGTCTTCAAACACACTCAGAGGGACCACACAACAACTCATGAAGAGCTGGACCCTGTTCTTATGAGGACTTGATATCCCTGAATAGTGGTCAGTCCCTGTGCTGATGTGCGACTGAACAAACCTGTTGCTGATTAATGTGCTTGATGTACAATGGCTCAATAAACCATAACACACTGGTTGATTTCTCCCATAACACTCACAAGTCGTTCATCATGTACGAATACTCCTGAACTGGATCATTTCTATGCTCTGGACCTGACCGATGTTGGTCTATGATGTTAGCAGGGCAGGGCTGTGTAACTGTACATCATCATCATCATCATCAGACAGGATGGTGAGTTCAGGGACAATCAGGAAACCACAAATCTAGTCTTAATCTATTATCAGTTTCATGAGCTGTAGAACAAACTGCATAAAATGTGAAGTGAAACTCAAACCTGACATCAGACTCGAGGCTTTCTGATTGGTCCGGCAAACAAGTGTGGGTGTCCTGCTCATCTGCGCTCTGCACCTTCATTCATTTGATGTTTCTTATGTTTCTGAGCCCATCTAATGCCCAGTCACAAAGTTCAATTTAACACATAAAACATCCTACCAACTTAAAAACACCAAACTAAACACCTACTGTATGCACCAGAACAATCCAATAGCCTTTCAGGACATGTCTTTGAAGCTGCCACTTCCACAGTTTGTCAAGAGACTGTGGCTGGATGAAGCTGCCAGCAGAGCACACTGCTCCACTACACTGTTGCTTTGTGTTCATTTCCTCAGTGTGATGTTCAAGTCATCCTGGTTTAACACAGTTTTCCCCTTTTCTGGTCTCAGTCTGTTTACAATGTAGGCAGCAAAGCCCCTCCCCAATCTTCACTGTAATTTTATATTTAGGCCTTTATTCAGACAGGATAGGTCTGCGCAGAGGCCACCTTTGTTATTCAGGAGCGCCCTGATCTCATCCACCCCTGGAAGCTGCCCAGTACGACCACTGTCTGACCTGCTGCCCCTGAGCAGCTGCATCGAAGCAGCTGGGGTTACGGGCCTTGCTCAAGGGCATCACAGTGGTGTTGATGAGAGTGGGGCAGCAGGTGTAATGCTGCCTGTCCGAGGATTGAACTGGCCACCTTGTGGTCACAAGCTCGCTTCTCCAACTATTAGGACCCCATTGAATCTTTTAGTTAAGCACCTAAATGTTGTCTTTTTGCTGAGATTTTTAAATCCACATGATTTCTTCTGTCCATTATTTTCTTTAACCTTAGAGATCCTCTCCAGATAATTTCAATATTTATATTTGTATATAAAAATGCTTTGCTATAAACAAGTCAGAGCTTTTCCTGAAAAAAAAGTTTAGCTATATAGCAATACTGTATAAAAGAGAGATAAGTGCGCAAATATATTTACAGCCTGGCTGGGAGTTTGACAGCATGTCATTACCTCTTTATTTACTCATTTAATCTAAAACAATCTAATGCCAGGGAACTGGGAGACTGGGTAATTAGCAGCAGGCTGTTTGCATGCAGTTCCACCACTAATAGTGAGCCAAACATAGTGTTTTAATTTCAGTTTAATGCTCCAACATGTCTACTACCATCCCATAGCATTTGATAACGTCAGTATCTTTTCACTTTCTCAGATGATCCGAAACATAATCTAGTAAAATTAATAGAGAACAGAGAGCTTGCCTTGCTTTATTAGCAGCAGGCTAATGGTTAGCTTTACCACCAAGTCAAACATAACTGGTAATATTCCATTCCAACACTGGTTAAAAGCAGCAGAAAGTGACATGAGAATCAGTTGAGTCTCTGCTGATCGGGTGGATGGTCACAAGATGTAAAGACACCACCTTTGCTTCTGGAGAGTCACAGTGTTTCCCCAGTGTTTGACATTTTGAGAATAAACCGATCAATCAGATCATCAGGACAATGATCAGTTGATTGATTGGCGACCCTGCTGTTTGTGTTTCCACTCAGTCAGGAAGTTCCTCTCACTTGTCACCATGTGTATAAAAGCACACAGAGATGTGAAACATACATTTCAGTTTTATATGTTGAATTTATTATTACTATTATTTTCTATTAGGGCTACAAGTGGCAGTGCAAAGGAAAACTGATTTTGCTGTACAACATTTATAACTGTTTGTGTTCCAAATGAAAATAAAATGATCAGACAGACAGACAAACTAATGATGCTGACAACAGCAGCCTCTACAGAAGAAAAAGCTCTGAGACAAAAGCTGACTGGAGGTTCAGTCACAAACATTAGCCCTATACTTTAGCTTTAAAACCAAACCTGTACCGTAAAGCAAAAATTTAAACCTGCACATCCCCATAACACCATGAAGAAACACACACAAATCTCTAAATTCCTGCTCTCTCTAATACCAGGGTCCATTCACTTTAAGTCATTTTAAGTCTCCTCCTGGTTTTCCTCTTCAACAGACAGATGCAGTCAGATGACTTTTCACCTGTTGGCAGGTGACTCTCTGAAGTTTGGCATGCAGTCAGTGCAGTGAGCAGCTCCTCCTTCCAATAAAATCTGAATCAGATCAGACTGAACAGACCTGTCTGATTGCTCTGATTGTGGCTGTTCCCAGACACACCTGAGCAGGTGAGGAGGGGCGGGGCTCTATTGTTCCTCTGTTGTTACTGAAGCAGAAGACTTCATCTGACACACCTACTCAGGTAGCCATACCTGTATGTGTTGAGGTCACAGGTGAAAAGAAAAGGGTGGGTGGTCATACCTTTAGGATTAGGCTTCAAATGTTCTTTTTTGATAAAGCTTATAGTTATGGCTGGATCAGGTGACCCTGAGCCTTCCCTTAGTTATGCTGCTATAGGCCCAGACTGCTGGGGGTGCTCCATGATGCTCTGAGCTCCTCTCCACTCTCTCCATCCATCTATATGCCACTACTACGCGTCACTAACTGCTTGTCTCCCATCTCCCATTGTGTGTCATCTCTCTCTCTTCCTCTACCTTTCTGCAGGGATCGCTGGCTCTGGAGCTCTACATTTCTAATGAGCAGTCACCGGCCACATCAACCTGCCCAGTGTTTGTTGTCTTGATGCTTTTCTTTTTTCTTTCCTTTATCCACTCCCCCCAACCAGTTGAGGCGGAAGGCTGCCCACCAAGAGCTGAGGTCTGTTAAAGAGTTTTTTCTCCCCACTGTTGCTGAGTGCTGCTCAAGAGGGATTTGTTGGGTTTTTCTCTATAATAATAGTAATAACAATAATAACAGTAAGGTCTATACCTTACTTTGTAAAATGCCCTGAGATGATTGTTGTTGTGAATTGGTGCTATACAAATAAAACTGAACTGAACTGAACTGATATGGAAACATTTCCACTGTGATGATTTCCACTGTATGACTGGACAAAACAGAACTGAAAAATCCAGACTGTGTTCTTCCTGAGCTCTTACCTTTCCAGGGTGATGGTCTACAGCAGGTTCCAGGATTCTTGAGGAAGTTCTGGGGCTCTTGATGACCATAAGTGCTTAAAGAGATTCCAAGAGAGGGTGAACAGCTTCCAGGGTTCTAAAGGGGCACTCAGATTCAGTGATTCTTGAGAAGGTAAAAAGTTAGAGGAATTTCCAGGGTTCTCAGTGATATGGTTCCCATGAGTGCTTGAAGAGGTTCCAGAAAAGGCTGAGGAGGTACCAGGGGTGCTTAAAGAGGTTCAAGTAGTGTATGGGGCAATTCCAGGATTTGTGAGAAAGGTTCGGCCATTCTTCGGGTGGTTCTAGAACTCCCTGAAGAGGTTCCAGGTGAGTTTGACAGGACTTGGCATGAGGCAGATCTGAAGACCAGAAAAGTAAAAAAAAAAAACCTTGGGGTGGAGGGTGTGGTTTCAGAAAGATGTGAGCTGACCATACCTGCAGGTGGTACTGGTGAAACTGAGCTCGATTCAGCATCTGACTGTCAGGGGTGCAGGTAACTGAGATGCCAGGTTTTGACAGAAAAGAGGATGACGTCTCTGCTTCTGCTGCAGAGATCATTTTAATAACCTTTCCAGGAGGGGGCATATAAATCAGCAGAGGACACTTTTAAAACTCATCACATGTCTAGGCCTGGAAACAAGTCAGCCACCAACTTCCTGTCACATGACCTCGGGTTACTGCGAAGGACAAAAAAAATTGCTGCAAACACGATGAAACAAATGTGGATTTGGACCGAGACACCACAGCAGACAGGAAGTCAGCAGACATCACT